AGACGCTCTGGACGTTGGACAATTCCAGGCTTCCCCGGACCAACATGCACGGCCCCTGGCCCGTACTCCTCCCTCTGGCTGGGAGAGAAACCAACCTTGAACCAAGTTTAGCAGCTAGTGCTAGGCAACCTAAGACTGATGGACAAACACTGGTGTTCAGGTTCAAACTCCAGGAAACACAGAAGCTGTCCAGCAGTGGCGTGCCTGGGAGAAAGCCCCAGAGGAGGAAGTTCCTTTGAAGGCTGGATGGGAAGCTGGCACCCGTGTCCCGGGCACCTAGAGAGACAATGGTGCGAGGGACAGAGGGCCTCTGTGGGTGCCCTGAACGGGGGGAGGGACCTGCTTGGAGACCTGGTTGGGCTGGGGAAGTTGGCAGATGGTTCCTTTCAGACTGGGTCTTGTTTCAGCCCACAGAGGAACTGCTTGTTTCTGTTTTGTGAGTTGGGGCTCTGCAGAGATTGCACGGGAGGGAAAGGCTTTGAGGTTCAAAGGCCTGAAAGACACGGATATGGGTGATCTAGAAGGCTCTAAGCTCCAAGAAGCTCTCCATGACCTGGTGACTAAACACAGACTAGGTGCCAGGCAGCCTGGGTTCATATGCCATGGCTACCATTACTACCCGTGTGACCTTTGGCAACTTGCTTAACCTCTCTGGGCCTCAGTTGCTGCATCTGCAAAGTGAAGATATAATATTTCCTTATAAGAGTTGTTGGGAAGCCAGTGCCTAGTGCACCATGGGACTTATTATAGTAAAACTAGTTGGCCTGGTGCATGAAATTTGTGCATTGGGTGAGGGTGGTGGTGGTGGTGAGGGGTGGGGGGGATGTACTTTAGCCTGGACTGTACCCTCTCCAATCTGGAACCCCTCCAGAGATGTCTGATTACCAGTTTAGGCCTGATCCCACCTGCAGTCAGACATCCCTCTCGAAATCTGGGACTGCTGGCTCCTAACCACCCACCTGCCTGCCTGCCTGATTGCCTCTAACCACTCTGCATGCTGGCCTGCTCACCCTCAACCACCCTTACCCCTTCCCTTCCTCCCCCACCCCCCCTCCACTAGCCTAATCACTCACAACTGCTGTCCCATCCTGGCCTCATCACCCACAACTTCCCTCCCCTCTTGGCCCCTAACTGCCTCTATCTCGGCCCCACCACCATGGCTTTGTCCAGAAGAACGTCTGGAAGGTCTCCTGGAAGGTCTCCCAGTCTAATTAGCATATTACCCAGTCTAATTACCATATTTATTAGTATAGATAAACAGGATTCTGGGATGTATGCTCCACCACACCATCTCTCCTCACCCCTCTACCCCCCCCAACCCCCCCCCCCCCCCCGGAGCTACAGAATGGATTGCAGAGAATGAAGCTCTTCCGGGCCACTAAAATGTGTTCCTGGAGGCTACGAGGAGCCAGCGATGATTGCAAAGTCACAGGGGACTCACTTATGATTGCTTTATCATTGTTGTCATCATCAGTCTGCGGTGGGCGCTCTTCAGAGAGGAAGGGAGAGGGAGAGAGAGATAGACACATCATTGCCCCCACTGGGGATCGGGCCGCAATCTGGGCAAGTACGCTGAGTGGGAATCGAACTGTGACTTCCTGGTTCACAGATCAACATTCAACCACTGAGCCATGCCAGCTGGGCAGGCATCTTGTGTTTTTATTTGCTATATCTGGCAATTCTACCAAGGCCTCTCTCTGCCCCTGAGTGTCCAGGCCCCAACCCCAGCAAGGACAGAGAGCCAGGAACAGGCACAGGGTCGGAGTGCTACCTAGTCAAATCTCTCCTCCCCCTGGCCTCAGTTTCCCCATCTGCATAACTCGGCAGTCAGAAGGCCTGCTTTCTCGAGGATGAATTGTGTGATGTGCGTGGGAAATGTGTTTTGGAAATGGAAAGAGGTGTTATGGAAACATTAGTTACCAGAATTCATTATTATGAATAACACAGACCAGTCCGTGGAGGCTATTTCTGGAAACCGAATTCCTCTTTTGAAAATTAGTTTTCATTTTAAAAGCAATTTGTATTTGTTCTTGAAATGTGAGATAATGGAGAGTAGCAAAAGGAGAAAAAAAAATCCTAATTTATATCATTCAGAGGCAACTTTTTATAGTGTGCTGTATCCTTGAAAAAGTATGAAGACATTTTTCCAGGTGTGTGTGTGTGTGTGTGTGTGTGTGTGTGCGCGCGCGCGTGCGCATGTGTGCATGTGTATATTTTTCTTTTAAACAAAAATGTATCTTATTTTGTATTTTTTTAGGCAACCTGCCTTCTCCTCAGGCTGCTGTCATTTTTAAAGTAGAACAAGGAACTTTCACCCAGAGGAAGTCTCTCCTTTTCTGTCCAGTTCCTGTGATTCCACAGTATTGGCATCTGTGTCTACTTCCCAGATCTTGTTCTGGGCCCCTTTGGGTTAGAGCACAGTGGTGAAATCTTCAGTGGAAAGAGAAAACAGAAGTCATGTAACGCTGTGTGTCCCCCCTCCTTCTGTATCCAAACAGGGCATACAGGAGAGGCCTGGTTTACTTTTATTAAAATTGAGGTAATAGTCACGTAGCATACCGTTTAACATTTTAAACTCTACAATCCAGTAGCATTTAGTACATTCCAAATATTGTACTCACCAACAGTACATGCCACTGTTGTCAACTTCCAGGAAGCATTTAGCTTCCCAGAAGGAAACTCCATAGCCATTAGCAGTCACTCAGCCCCTGGCGACCTCTGATCAGCTTTCTGTCTCTATGGAGCTGCATATTCTCAGAATTTCATGTAGATGGAATCATATGACACGTGACCTTTTGTGACTGGCTTCTTTCACTTAGCATATTGTTTTCAAGTTTTATCCACATAGTAACGTGTATCAGTACTTCCTTCCTCTTTATGGCCAAATAATATTCCATCATATGGATATTCCATTAATCAGTTGATAGATATTTGTTTTTTTCCCCCCCACCTTTTGACTATTGTGAATAATGCTGCTGTGTATATTCCTGTATTAATTTTCATTTGAATACCCATGGGTGAAGGAGTAACTGCATATATATATATATATATATATATATATATATATATATATATATTGATTTCAGAGAGAAAGGGAGAGGGAAAGATAGAAACATCAATGATGAGAATCATTGATCGGCTGCCTCCTGCACGCCCCACACTGGGGATCGAGCCTGCAACACAGGCATGTGCCCTTGACCAAAATCAAACCTGGGACCTTTTGGTCTGCAGTCCAAAGCTTTATCCACTTAGCCAAACCAGCTAGGGCAGTGGTCGGCAAACTCTTTAGTCAACAGAGCCGCAGTTTGCTGACCACTTTGCTAGGGCATAACTACCATTTTATATTCCTACCAGCAACATGAGGGGTTCAGTTTCTTCACATCCTTCCCAATACTTATTTCCATGAAAAAAATGTTATGACCGCTACAGGGCCAATGGGGTGGTATCTCATTGTGGTTTTCATTTGCATTTCCCTGATAACTAACGATATTGAGCATTTTTTCATGTGCTTGTTTCATTTGCATTTCCCTGATAACTAACGATATTGAGCATTTTTTCATGTGCCATTGGTATATCTCCTTTTAGAAATGTCTATTCAAGTCCTTTGCCCATTTTTAATTTAACTTAATTTTATTGTTTTGTGGTAAAAACATACATAACATAAAATTTACCATTTTAACCTTTTTAAGTGTACATCTCACTGGCATTAAGTGCATTCACAATGTTGTGCAACTATCAACACCATTCATCTTCAGAACTATTTTCTTTAAAAAAAAAGAGACAATTTTTGTTTGTATTTCTTTTAAAATATATATTTTTATTAATTCCAGAGAGGAAGGGGGAGGTTACAGAGAGAGAAACACCAATGAAGAGATAGAATCATTGATCAGCTACCTCCTGCACGTCCCCTACTGAGGATCTAGCCCGAAATCCAGGCATGTGCCCTGACCGGGAATCCAACTGTGACCTCCTGGTTTATAGGTCAACGCTCAAACACAGCCACGCCAGACGGGCAAGACAATTTTTAAAAAAAGCAGCTTTAGGTTCACTAAAAGATTGGGGTTACTAATAACATGTACCTGGCAACTCCCCATGCTTGGAGGACTTTGAAATCTCCTCCTCTGATTGAGTAACACATGCATGACTGATAGTGGCGGGGTTGACATAGTGAAAGGTGGCGAGTGCTTTGGACAGGGAAGGGAAGGACAGTTTGCTGTGGGACCTTGGGCAAGTCACTCTCATTGTCTCTCTGTCTCCGTGTAAAGGCAGGAGATTCCACCACCAGAGGAGTCCTAGGCCCCGGGTCTATGAAACCACTCATGACAGGGTTCAGAAACTATCAGCCCAAGTGGCATTTCTCTAGACCGCCAAGTTAGGGTTCCGCCTATCTCCAGAGTTCTATAGTCTCAAAGCCAAGTACAAGCTCATTAATGCCTTATACTCATCAGGGAACCTTGCTGCATTAGGACTGCTGCTATTACTGTAGCAGGCAGATGGGCTCTTATCTAACAGGCAGGAAGCACCCATTTAGGGGCAGAGGGTTGAGTGGCTGTTGATTTCCAGAGCTTTTTAGCCATGAATTGAGACAGCTCTTAGGGGCCACTGACCATTCTGGGGCATACAAGGCAGTACAACAGCAGCTAAGTTTGATTTCACCTGTGCTAAACCCCTTGCCTGCATCATCTCAGTTAATTTTGACTAGATCTTATGAGAGGTAACTGTTATGCCCATTTTGCAGACAGGAAACTGAGGCCCAGAGAAACCGACTTGCCCAAAGGCACAAGGAGTATGTTGGGCTGCCTGGATACGCCTGAATGTCCAGGTTTGACTTTTGGGGATACAAAGGCCCCCCTCACAAGGATAGGGAGGGGGGGAGCGGGAGTCCCTCAACGCGGGATCTGGGATTCCAGGTTGGTGGTCCGGGCGTCCGAGGATGGGAGAGGAGAAGACATGCCAGAAGTGGAAGACTAGAGGAGTGCGGAGGGCAAAGGGGGGCCGAAATGTGGGGGATCAGGGGTGTCCCAGACACGCGGCGCGGGTGCCGGCGGCGCGCGGAGGCGGGGAGGATCCGGAAGCCTGGGCAGCAGCTCCGCCCCAGCGAGTGCAGCCGCCGCGCCGCCCGCGCTGCGGGCTCAGACCTCCCGGCTCGGCTGGCGGCGCGCGGCGGTGAGTGCGGCGGGCGGGCGGCCGGACGCCCATGGGGGCGCGGAGGGGGAGCCGAGGGGTTCCGGGGCTGGGAGCGGGGGTCCCTGCGGCGCCGGGCACCTGCCCGGGCTTCGGGGCGGCTGAGGCCGGGAGTCCCGAGGCATCGTGCCTGTGGCGGTGGCCCGTGAACCAGGCGGGTCCCGGGGTGCGAGACCGGGTGGAGGGCGCGGGGCTCCGGCCAGAACTTCCTCGCGGGGCGGGCGCGGGCCGGTGTCCCGCCTCCCAGCGCCGCCGTGGCCGTGGGGGCCGGCGGGTCCCGCTCTCGCGCCCCGATGGGCCGGTGGTCCGCGGATCGCGTGCGGTGGGTCGCGCTCCTGCGGGCGCGCGGTGCTCCCTCCGCGGGAAGGACGCCCAGAGTGGAGTCCTTTGGGGAAAGTCGGGGTTCGCTCTGGCGTTCTGCGACCTGAAAGTTGAGATTTTCAGAATCATCATCAGCCGGGCGGTTTAGAAACCAAACCAAACAGAACCCAACCAATTTCCGGACGTAGGTCTCAGAAGTTCGGCTTTTAGGGGCCACGACATCTGCCTGCGCTTTTGTCCTTTCCTCCGGAGACCCATCCCCGCCGGATCCAGGGCCGCCTTTTAGCGGGTGCCTGTGTGGGCACCCGAGGGCCTGGGGTGCATCAGAAGGGAAAACCCGGGCCACAATCCCATCCCAGGCTTGGCGGGCCGGGCGCCCCCGCCCTGAGATCGGCGCCCTGGGAGCGCAGGCGGCAGCCCAGATCCCAGGAGGATGAGCGCCGGTGGCACAGGCAGGGGAACCGGTGGCGGAGGTGGACCTTGCCCCTCCCGCCACGCGAGGCAGGTGCCCTTCCCTCCTCAGCTCCCCAGGTCAGTGTGCATGTGGGCAGTGGGTTGGGTGTTATGCCAGGAGCTCCTGATCCAGGTTAGTGCGGGGGCGGATGGGGGCGGGGGACGGGAGTGATAAATCTCCCCTCCCCTGGGCCTTGGTTCAGGGGCTGTCTGGAAGGAAAGTTGGCCCCGCCGTTCTCCTGGGGCCCTATTAAGGAAAAACCATGGTTTGCATGAATGTGTGCCTAAATTACTTTCCTACCCCCACCCCCTGGGCCTCCTCAGGGTGGCTCTTGTACATTGAGACTCACCTGGATGACTGTACAGAGAGATGGTATCTGGGATTCTACCACCGTTCGGTTTTATCAGAGCCGGATCAGAATCCAGGGAGCAGGTGACTCCTCTATCTGGCTCTAGAATAACACCCATGCTGCCCTTGGCTTTCGCCACAGCCAGCCCTGGCTTTGGATCCCAATGTGCACCAGCCTCTCTAAGAAACACTTACTGTAGCTCTTACAGTGGGAGAGGCCCATCTTCCCTCTTTTCTGCTACTTTAAGGCATTAATAATAGATGCTTTTATTCACATTTGGAAAAGTATCCTGGTTGTAATGTTTCCATGGATTAAGTGACTTGGTGATTGATCTGAGACGGAGGATCAATTGGGTAAATCTCTAAACTACCAGCCTGAAATAATTCGGTCTCTCTGGTGAGTAAATGTCCCTTTGTTCCTTCAGTCCATTTTGTGGGCTGGCTGTGGGGAAATCAAGGGCTACCCTTGCCCTGGAAAGGACACGGGAGAAATGGTTCCTGGTCCTGAGGGGTTGACACTGTGGGTGGAAAGTGGAGACACACAGTTGTGCAAGAGCCAGTGCTCACTATTGCCTGGAAGGGGGGTGGGTGGAATGGGAGGGAGGGTGCTACGATCTAGTTACCCAAGAAAAGTTTAGTAGCAAAGCTGAGGCCTGAGCACCTTTGGCAGAGGGACGTGTGGACACGGTGGGCAGCATTCCACGTTTGCAGAAGCATCTGAATAAAGCTTCGGAGGAGGCACAGACATACCGGGGGCTGAGGACACTAAACGGGGGACCATTGAGCAGGAAGGAGCCAGAAGGCATTTCCAGGACAACTTAATTTTCAAGGACATAAACATGCATTGGGGCCCTCGACCACCCATGCTGACCAGAGGTGTGGATGGCCAGAGGTCTGAGAATAGGCAGGTGCCCATGAGGGACTAAACATTCTCCTGCCCAAAGTGAATCTCCCCACGGCAATAATCCACAAGAGGACGTCCCAGAGTCTTGGTAAGGGACTCGTCCTCTGGGTTGCTTTTGCTGCTGTGAAAATAGCCCTGTGGGTAAGGGGATCCACCTCTTCAGGCAAACAGACCTCCTTTACTCTGTGTCTCTTTAGCACAGACGTGTCTGTGACGTCTTTGGTGCTCTTTGGGCTGCCCGTAGCCTGTTCTGCCCTTGATTGGCGTTTACTTAGCGTAAAAATTGTTATTTGAGCCTAAAGGGATCCTGTCCTGAATCCTCAAAATTTCATCCTGTTGTTTGAATCTGCCTTGGCGCTCTGGGCAGCTGTGGTAACACTTCCGTACCTAATGAAGTTATCCCTTCAACGTACTTATGTCAGTAGAACTGTGTGTAATTCCATAGGGTTTAAGGCGTGGACAGCATCAAGGGTGTCTGTATTGATTTCCTGTCACCTCCTGGTAGGTAGAAAGTTAATTCACCAGAATCCTCAACGCCTGAGGCACTTTTCCTTCTGTTTCGCTTTCTTATTGGTGTTACCTGATGGAGAATTGAAACTATTTAGCTCAGGGAGCTTTAGAATTGACCGTGTTCCTGGGGTAAATTTAAGAGCTTAGTACAGTCTTGCCTGTGCCTTGAGTCCAGGAGGGTTACTCATAGATAATGCATTGATATTTTTTTAAAGTGACATAGACAATAACAATATTACAGAAAGTGTGGGAGATAGGAAAAAAATAAGGCTAATCTCACCGTGTGAATGAAACAGCTAGCACGTTTGTTTGCTAATTCAGTTTTGTCATGGTGCCTGTTTTTTTTTTTTTTTTTTTTTTTTTTTTAATGAATTTGCAATCAGGGTACACACACTTTGGTCTCTTGATGCAGTCCCATTCATGTTCTCATTGCACAGTTTCACCAAAAACCTTCATTCATGTGGAAACTGGGGATGTGGCTTCACCAGGAATCCAGAGGGAATCTGGTTCTCTCTCCCCAATGGAAGCACTTTCCATTCCACAATTCACTTATTTTGTACTCGTGCTCTGCTTGAAGCTGGCTTTCAGGCTGTGGTACATTTATCTTTGACTTGTGGACAAGAAACAGATTGGATTCAGAAGATGGAATTTGAAAGCATTTCTCTGAACATTTCACTATGAGCTTCTGTGTTTTCATGGAAGTATACTGAATCTGAATTTGAATATCCTACTGAGTTTGCCGACTGTGGTCGGCAAACTCAGTAGTCAACAGAGCCACATATCAATAGTACAGTGATTGAAATTTCTTTTGAGAGCCAGATTTTTTAAACTTAAAACTTATTCTAACGCCACTTCTTCAACACAGACTCGCCCAGGCCGCGGTATTTTGTGGAAGAGCCACACTGAAGGGGCCAAAGAGCCACATGTGGCTCGAGAGCCGCAGTTTGTGGACCAGGGTTCCCACTACCATGGTACCATTTCTCACTTCCTTCCCCGAAGATGGCCAGAGACCCCAATTTCCTCTTTTGTCTCAATTCTTCCCCTTATTAACTTAGAGTTTAAGAAACATCATTTGTGTTGGACATTTTCTGGAGGTTAAATTCCATTACAATAAAAACAGCCTTTCGGAGTCTTTGTATTTAAAGATGCCTGGCCAGTGGCCCTTACTTTAAGAATTCTGAGCGATGCTCGATTCAATAAATGCACAAGTGAAAGAGTTCCTTGGGGCGCTTATAGTCGGGTTTCACTTATGCTCACATTGCTGTAAAGAACCTTTTTCTCCGGAGACAGGAAAAGACCAGATATTTGGGGCCTTCCCCAGCTGGTCCTCCACCTTGTGTACAAACTGAGCCATTTTCTTTGGAGCCCTGACAATTCGCATGCGTGCCCTTCTTTGGCTGAAGGAATCCTTTCTTCCTTGGGGTCTCCTGGGGTCACTTGTGTTAGGCACATATTCCGGGATGTCTCCTGGGTTTCTTTTCTGGGGCCGGAGAGTGGAGGCGGGGAATGGAATTGAATAATCTTCCTTTTTTTTCTTCCTGAAAGAACTGATCTTAGAGGATTAAGTTGGTGGTGAAAACACTGCTTTATCTTCCCTCTGAAGGCCTGGTCCTTTTGTGTGTGGGTCTGATACCTAAGTCTGGAAAACAGCTCTATACACATCATGAAGATGTATTTTTAGAAGAGTTTCTTATCAAAATGTGGTCAAGACCACTTTGTGCGTCTTTTAAAGCCTACACCTTTGGAGAGGGGGGTGCAGATTTGTAAAGTATTGATGTATATATTCAGCTGGTAGGAGTTTGGGAGATTCCTTAAATCTTAACGCCTGACCATTCAATTAAATTTGGGGGTATATTTTTCTTTCTTAAACATCCCCAAGTAGAAATACTAGAAAGCCTAACTTTTTTTTAACCTCCCCAATTAGAAATATTAGAAACACTGCCTCCACTTAATCTTTTGCATTTAACCAAAATACAATAATAATAATAATAAAAAAAACTTTCTTTTTTTAAAACACACACACACACACACACACACACACACACACACAAAATTGAACTTGAATGACTTTGGATGAGGCCTGTCTGCCCCAGTTCACCTTACAGTTTAATTTTAGATCTGCAGGAAAATTGCAGTTAATACTGGGGACCCCATGTACTCTCACCCCGTCCCTCTATTTGTCAACATCTTACATCGTCTCTGCAGCACATTTGTCACACTAAGAAACGGACACCGGAACCTCACTGTTAACCAAACGCCAGTGTTTCCACTGATGTCCATTTTCCTGTTCCAAGGACCCATCCATGGTACCATGTTGCTTTCAATCCCCCGTCTCCCAGTGTTCTCTGGTCGGCTAGTTTCTCAACCTTGCCTTGTTTTCAGGACTGTGTTTGAAGAGTACCAGGCAGAGATTTTGTAGAATTTCCCTCAAATTGGGTTTGCCTG